GAATCATGTTAAATTTCATTTATATATATATATATTTATATATTACAATGTTTATAGATATTTACTAAATAATACCGTGTAATATATCTATTGCTCGACATAAAATCACATTCCAAACAAAACATTCATAACCAAGTGCTGTAATGTTTATATAAAAGAAAAAAATAAGAATCAATCAGTATTTAATGGCAGGTGTTATAAATATAAATTGTTAAATTAAATAAATAATTGTACCCTTGCTTACCTAGAACTTGAGTTTCAGTAAAATATAGACGACGACCTCAACCAAAAAATAATAAATAATTTTCACTGTGGAAGAGTCACTTAGTATACATGAAAAACAAAAACAAACAAACAGAAATTAAGGAGGTTTTGTGGCTTTTCAAACAGTCTGTGTCCTTAAAACATTTAAAAGCCGTAAATAACGATATATTTTCTCTTTTGAGCAAGTGTCTAACTGCGTATAAATGTAGTCATTATTTTAAGTAAATGTCATATCCTGTTTTGCAGGTGATCAACGAAAATACATTCAAGTATCATTACCGAAGATAAAATACACCAAACTGAAGAACGTTAAATTACAGTCGAGAACAAATCTTCAACTGCTATATGACATGAATGTTAGAATGACTACATATCTACAAAAAATTTACTTAAAAAAAAACACACAAGAGAATGAGGTCGTTATATAAATATGTGTTCTATTCCTTTTAATATAAGGAATTCCTCTTGAACTATCAATATCGTCTAACGGCAAGCAATTTCGTTCCACTAAGAAATCAATCGATAATAAAACTTTTAACATAAACTTGACTTACTTCATCCTTGAACGAACAAAATTACTTAGTAATTGAAAATTAAGAGCTGCTAAAAAACAAAATTTGATTTATAAATTTCTTTGTGTGTGTGTGTGTGTGAAAGGGAGGGAGGGGGGTCCCACAATCTTTGAGCGAGAAAAACAAAACAAAAAACATATATTAATTAAAAAGTAAAATCCACTAACTGTTATTAATTCGAATCTTCAACCATTTTGAATATTTAACAAGTAATATGTGTAGAAAACAAAAGAGAAAGTACTTGAAAATTAACGTGGAAATTTACTGTCATGGGCACTATGGGATGATCATGTATTCGTTCAACAGTAATTTGTGGGGATAGTTGCAATATTGTTGGTATTCTTATATACGTTTTTGTATTGCTTTGTGTTACTAAGCCTATAATCAACAAAGCCATCGACCTACAAACTATTTAGCGTATAAATAGTTCAGAAAAATATGTTTATAAATCAGTGGAGTCTGGATCCCATCCATAATTGTAGGGTTAAATTATTTAAATTCAAATATTCTTGTTTTTATTACAATACACTTATAATTATTATCAGAATGATTTTATTGTTGTTGATGTTTTTGTGCAGAAAAGTTCTGCAACATATTAAATAGTCTTTATTCTCTCAAACCTAAAAGTGAGAATCTTTCAGATAAAGATTGAAACTTACTCTTAATAACGAAATTGTGAACTGAGACTAAACCAGGGATGAAATTCTGCCGGCATTCACCGGTACTGAGTACCGGAACTTATTTTTGAAGGTGGTACTACTACCGGGACTTATTTGAGCTGCTTTGGTCGTTTTTTATGCTTATACGTAGATTTGTTTTCCTTTTTCAAAAATAGGCCCACTTCACTCAGCTGAGTACCTCTACTTTTTTTTGTGTGTGTGAGAATTTCGTCCCTGGACTAAACATACATTTAATATATTCGTTTGTTTCAAGCATGTCCACTACATGTGATATGATTATTTGTAACTATTAGAACTTATCTTGAAATAGCGCTGTTCCACTGTTAAGTTTTGTACTTCCATTCCTGCTTGAGTCCTGGTAGTTGCTACTATATAAAATCTGCGTCTGTTGTTTAAAATGTGTACTGCAGAAAAAAAGTGGGAAAGATATTTAACTTCTAAAACAAGTCAGTATCAAAATTAATCTGATCATCAAAATATTATACATACCTTTTGCTATTTTATCTGAGAGTGAAATTAAAACATTGCTTCTAGGTTTATGTAAAAACTACTTTAACATCCAATAAAAATGGTATTCTGTGGCTGAGTTTGGCCTGCAAGTAAGCACTATTTTTGTCATTTTTCTTGTTAAGCACAAATCTAAACACTGCACTATCTGTGCTGTGCCAACTACGAATATAGAAGCCTGATTTTTCGCGTTATATACTTTCAGACTTACCAGTAAGCTACTGGAGGGACAAGTGGGCAATTATCGACCATGAGAAACAAAAACAGAATTTTAGTCTGTCTGCATTATAGATTTACAGCTCAAAGCTTGAGTTGTGTAAAGTTATCAAGTGGAGCTCACTTTCACAGCCCATATAATACGTACCTTTTCATAGGCTTTTGACGTTTCAAAAAGTTTGCAAAAAGTCAACGAAAGTCTCTTATTTCGATTATTTGATGACGTCACAGAAAAGTAACTCAAATGTAGAAGAATGACATGTCGCAAAGTAGGCCTGCATAAACGATATGAATTAGAAATATTGTGATAACTTATCTTTAAATTTATGAATATCCTTGGACATTCTACAACAGGAACGGCGCTCCGGTTCGCTCACCCTGAACTCAAACCCTGTAATACAACTAATATATCTATGGATTTAATCATTTCAACTTACAAATAAAGTTTAATCAATCTCAAAGTTAAGCTGAGTGTACCCTAGAGGCTGTCTTGCAGAGATGCTAATAGTAGGTCAAAGTTCAAGTCAGCGATATGTTGTTGAACACTTTCTTCGCATTTAGCTGTAACCGTGTTGGTGGCGGGTGCTTTCGACTAGTTACCATCTTTACGTTCACCAGTTTTAAATTAGAGGATGCTATTTCTGAACCTTGAGAGCTGATAAGATACCGTGCAAGTTAAAAATACCAAATACAAAATAGGAAAAGTTCATTATTTTTAATTTGTTCCCATAATTCAATGATTTAAAAGTCAAACATTCATAAACTAAAATATTGTTTGTTTGAAGTTAAGCACAAAGCTACACAATGGGCCATCTGGGCTCTGCCCACCACGGGTATTGAAACTCGGTTTTAGCGTTGTAAGTCCGCAGACATACCGCTGTGTCACTGGGGGGCTAAACTAAAAGAACCATTTATTGACATTTCTTTAAAATACATTTTTTTAATGTTTTCAGTTAATGTTTTATTATGTTTCCAAACTTGAATTTCATATGTATTTCATATCGACTATAATATATATATATATATTTTAAAAGTCACGGATTAAACGCGGAAAATTGGCGAAGCATTTAAGTATCTACAAGTTATATGATTTTTATCACATATTTTAGGACTAGTTATTTTTATTTTTCAACGCGAGGTGAAACATGGCCTACTTGTATTGTAGGGGGCAGTGTTTCATTTTATTCAAACCCTTAAGTTATTTTTTTAAATAAATGTTATTTGTTCTTAAGCGCAAAACTACACAATGAACTATCTGTGCTCTGCACAACTTGGGTATCGAAACCCGATGTTTACTATTATAAGCCCTCATACTTACAAGTGATCCACCAGGAGGCATTTTTAATAAATATATTTATGATATATTGCGATGAGGTACTATACTTATAGAACAATATAAGAAATACATCAATCAAATAAATAACAGTAGTAATCGAGAGGAGTATAATTAGGTCGAATGCAACTATATCACTTAAGACGTCATAAGTGATACTTTGTGACAATGTAAACGTCATTTAATAATATAGAGTATTCCGATAAAACCCTACACATCGGTGTGCTATTTTTCTTATTAATTCTCGTAATGTTGCAGTAAATCTAGCTACTGAGTTGTAATTTTAACCACGAATACGTTTTTCGAAATAATATGTATTCCGATAAGAACCAGAAAAGCTACTCAGAAAAATATAAAAATTAGTATTATTTTATTATGTCATAAACATATATACATCAAGCGAAATATTTTTTACAATATTTTTACAAGCCTTTTTCTAAACTTGTAAGATATAATAAAACATGACGACCGTTATGTTTGTGTGTTACCTACCTAATAGTTTGTGCTAATAATTTGTTAACATTCAAAATATATTTAGGTGATGGAAATTTCCGTAATTTCAAGTTGTAAAAGAAAACTCACCTTTTTATCTTACTTTTATTTGGTTTATTGAACGTACGCTAAAATTATGAAAACGAGTAGTGGGAGCTCTTTCTTATCTCGGCATGTAGCATGAATCAGTCTCCGCGCCTTTATGTAATGACGTAAATGTTAATACCATCCAATGATAGGGGAGCGTAGTGGAAGCGCGCAAAATTTGGCGCGCTTTATAACTTTGGGTTTTACTGTTAGCTATAATAACTTTCAGTGAAAGTTTTACTGAGCTTGTACAACTTACAAGAGTATTTTAATTCCCATTATATGAAAACTAATTTGCGTCTAAAGATGCCGTCGCCTGAACGACGTATCAAGAAATTTAACAAGGTAGCAAACAAATGTCAAAAACTGACTGATCTGTGGTGAGTGTCGATAATGTTCCAAACTTTTACAATATAAGGTAAACTTAGTAAAGACTAAAGTTGAGTGTTGTTGTTCCTGCTCGAGACTAGTTAAGCCTAATTTTTTATGAGGCTTTTAATTCAGTAATAAATTAAAAAAATAAACTTAAATCTTGTGTTTATAACTGTGCAAATAAAAGTTTCTTAATCATTTAATTAAATTTATATTTGACACAGTAGTCTAAATCAGTATTTTAATTTTATAACTTGCAACTTAGCAATATCATTGCTATTAGTATTTGCATTAGCAATAGAATATTATTATTACTATTAGTAGTAGTAAGAGATATGAAAACAACTTTTCATATTTTTAAATAAGATATTTTTTTACTTTGATAAAAATTGTATACAATTCTAATTTAATCTTGATGATACCAATACTATATGCTCACAATAATATATATACTTATAATTATATAACGTTAATATGAAATATAATGATGAGGACCAATAGTATTACTGTTAGTGATACTATGATACTGGTGCCATAGTACAAGGACAACCTCAGTGAATGGGCAGTGATTAGCGATTTGAAGTCTTGTACTTGTTTTCATTAGAGCAGAGAAGAACTAGAGGGAACTTTTATTTAAATGGACCAAGGTTATAGAATTTGAGATTTAAATATTAACCACATAGATTTAGAATTCCTTTTTTTTGTATTTGATCACTTCAGTATTTCAATGACTCATACAATTATCACATTTTAAGTGATTTTTTCGTATATACCTGAGTTATGTTTTAGTGATAAACAATCTTATCTAATTAAAAGCTTTATTCACTTTTCATTTTGAGGAACGTAAATAATTAAAGGTTATTGTCAATTCACGTAAAACTGATAAGAACTCGTTTAGAGCACTGTGATCAGGTTTGGTAGACTCTGTGTTGTAAAGAAAATTAATTTGCTAAAAAAAGTATTGTAGGGTTTAAAATTTTCAAACTGTTAAGAGCCTTAAACAGTTGAAATTATTTGTTTTAGAAATATTTTTGGTTTTGGAATGCCAGAAATGGTTAATTTGTTTGATATGGTGTATGCTGATAGTGATAGGTAGAATTTAGTGTTACCTGGATATTGGGTAGACCGTAGCACTGCCTGAGTAGGGATAGCTTGGTATTTTAAATATCTCTTCAATACTCATCAGAACTTTACAGTACTATACAGTGTTTTCTTATATAACAATATCTATGTAATGACCAAGTCACAAATTCTGGGAATTTCTGTAACTATTATTGCAAAATGTTTGAATTTCTTGTTATTTTTTATTACGTGATAACTCAATAACCAAAACAATGGTGTCAACCAATTTCACTGAGGTGACATAGTTTCAAACAGCATATCCACGTTTATAAATATTATTAATAACTAACAGTAATTTTAAAAAAGTTATAATTCTAGTGTAAATGATGTTATCATTACCCGTGAAGTTAACTTTCTTACAGAAATTTGGTGTTCCTTTAAAAAAGCTTAAGTACAGGATGAAATGGGAATTACCAGCCAATAATAGATAAACAATAAATAATACAGTTGGAATCTCATTGTATTTAGAACTTGGTTATAAATACAACCTTCTGCATTAAAAAACAAGTAAATAAGCAAAGAAAAACTTTTCCAAAAAAGGAAGTAAATATAGGGATAGCTAATACCAATCCTTCAAAAACAAAATAGTAGGGATGGCATTTGCATCATCCCTACATAATAGCACAGCCAAGAATTAACATATAGCAATATATATATATATATATAT